AGAAGGAAGAGAAGGAAGAGAAGGAAGAGAAGAAGGAAAGGAAAGGAAAGGAAAGGAAAGGAGAAAAAGTGATCCATGTAACCAGAGACCTGACCTCAGCAGTGTGCCAGTTTTCAGAGTGGATTTGGAGGGAAATGATAATCAAAGACATAGTGGTAAATGGATGCAATATAGGTTTCCTCCAGGCAAAACTCATTGACTGTATTTCTTTGATTAAAATAACTGCTTTTCCAGACAAAGGAAATGTGGTAGATTTAATCTATTTGGTTATCAGCAAAGAACTCATTTTGCTGCACTGGAAATGCTTATGTAAAGTGGAGAAACTGGTGATATGCTGGGAATAATGGATATCAATGCATAAATCAGATGGTAGGTGAGAGCTGGCCACAGTGTAGTGCTGTGAAGGAATATCAGGTACGAAAGGAATTTAGTTTAGTTACCAGAGGACTTTCTGAAGCATGTCTTGCATTTGATCTAATTTAGGATGTCCATTAAAAACCTTGGCACAAAAAGAGAAAAAAAGTTGAAAAATTGGGGAAAATGCTGACAATACAAAGTCTAGAAGCATTGTCAATGCAACGGAGGATTAGGATGTCAGACAGGAAGAACTGAATAACCTTGAGAACTGCAATAACAGAGATAGGATGAAAAGTAATAGCATACAGTGCAAGGCTGTGTGCTTAGGGACTAATAACAAGCATTTCTGTGCTAAAGTAGGATTCATATGTTGAAATAAATGAGGAGGAAAACATCTAGAATGACTGTAAGCCACAAGTATGATGCAGGCATGAAAAGAGCAAAGGATGTTATCAGGAGAGTTACTGCCAATGAAGACAGGAGGGTATGAATAAAACTGTGTAAGGGCTACGTTGGACCAAGACTCGGATTCTCCCTACAATTCTGGTCAGTTCTGCACTCAAATGACAAATTTAAATAATGTAAACTAGAGCAACAATAGATAAGGTGACTAAGGTGACCAAAGGAATGAAGAATTGATGCATAGTCTCTGATCCAACAAGAAGTTAAAGAAAAGTAATGGATTTAGCCCAGCAAAATGCTGGAAGGAGGAGACACACTGGTTTGCTGTATCGTATGGCTCTTAGCCCAAGGCAAAGAGCTCGGGAGGGAAAACACAGCACGAGCAAAGGAACAGAGCTGATGCAAGAACAAATGGCTGAAACATGACAATGAATAATTAAGGCTGGAAATAAAAGAACCTGACCCACATGAACAGCAAGGTCACAGAGGAGCCTTCCAGTGAGGGAAGGAGATTGTAGAGCAAAATCAGAAAGGAGTCCATGACATGCTGCTGCTAGCAGAAGAAAACTAAGCCTTGGACTCAGGAGATACTTTCAAGACCTAAACAGTGAAAATAAGGGCTCAGGTCTCCTGTGCTCTCCTGAAGGCAGGGATTTCTGGCTTTTACGCTGCCTTTAAGCATCTGTGTAGGAACACCACATATTCAGCAAGTCCCTGAAAGAACTCAACCTCTATTAAAATCTGTTACAGCAAAGAGGAGGAAAATCACCAGTGTTTGCATACAGGCCATTACAAGTCTATCAGTTTGGAAGTTTTGTGTGTTTTTGGTTCTTTTCCTGCATTAGAGGGGAGCAGTTTCATATTCATAGACCATGCATGTTGAAGTGTGTGGCCACTGGCCGACCTATGTTTTCAGTAATAACAGCTGATGTGATCTGTGATTTCTGAACCTTGTGCCAACGTGAGTGCTGGGTTTGCCTATATATTTGGGTTGGTGTTCAGTGTGCTGGAAACAACCCATACGCACCGCATGCAAGAATCCAGATTCCATCTGGTTACAGCAGGGTTTTGTAAAAAATATCTAAAGAGCTAGGCAAAGGATTAGAATAAAGAGGTGCTAATAGGGTGCAGTTGGGACAGGAAAGGAAGCTGTAAAGAATTTAATGGAAAAAGAGGGTCAAGGAACATAAAAAATAAAATAGGAAGAAAAAGAGGCATTTTTTAAAAGGTGAAAGAGTAACAATAATAAAGAATGAAAGATTCTTTTATTTTTGCCAGTTTCAACAAAAGCCTTAAGAAAATTCTCTTCTCTGACATTTAATTTTAAAACATGTCAGTGTATGCAATCCTTTTTTCAATCCTGCCTTGTTTTTTTCAGATGCTGGGTTGCAGTTGCAGAACTCTAATCTCCTTGGCCTCATGAAACTACTGTCCCCTGCCCCACGTTATTTGGCTCTCCCAAGAGGTGGCTGAAGTTCAAAAGGATATATAATTTGCAAAGCACTTTGGGATTGTGATGGAATAAAGACACTTTTATTAATATCATACCCTTTTTTTCTCCAGATCACTTTATATATATATAACATGGATTACTATTTTTTTTATTTTTATTACTATCTCAACAGCAACAGCCTCCTCCTCTTCCTCCATTTATACAATATGACTTTACCCCATCCCAAAGAGTTTGCAATCCAGATTATACACTGATTGACAGAGGAAGCAAAGGGGCAGTGTAGGGTAGTGAATTAAAGTCACACAGCACATCCAAAAGAGAAACAGAGTGTCCTATGACTCAGGCCTGTGCTGGCCATAAAACCCTTCCCTAGAGATAAATTCTCAGTAAGGTAAGTCTTTTAAATTTTGAGTAAAAGTGTAAATGTAAATCAAAATGTATAAAACAGAGCAGGTTTACTACAGAAAGGAAAGCACTGTTCCTTCTTCTACACTCAGGTAAAGGTCTAAGTGAAAATGGGAAAGGACCTCATTGCAACAAGATGCTACAATATTTTTACTTGAAACCCTAAAACAAATTCAGGGTTCATAAAAAAACCACTGACATGGTGAAAAAGAATGGTTCCTTTAAGATGTTCTTGGTCAGAGAATATGCTAAGCATGCATTTCTAATATCTGGGTGGGCAAACGCAAGTGGAAATTTAAATTCTGCAGAGGCACAGGGAATGTGCTTCTGAAAATGTTTCCAGTCAAAAGCATGTTAAGTGTGAAAGTGTGGTCTACATGGAGGAAGTGAGAGAGTGTGGTCTATCAGATCATCAGCAAGAATTTTGTGGCCTTTCGGGCTAGTAAGCACATTCAGTGTTTGCTGTCATCGCTCTGACGAAAAATGGACCAATGAGAGTGTCATTGTGCCAGTGCTAATTGCTCCTGGGGACAATTGTGCTAAATTGTGGCTATAAATTGCCAGGTAGCTCCATACAGAAGCAGAGATACCTTGGAATAACATCAAGGGCTGGACTTGAATCCACAAAAGAACATATTCTGGATATAGGAACAGAGTATTCTTTTCTCAGGAGGTTTTGTGTGATTTAACCTAACCCACTGTCACTGCCCTGGACAGGCAGCAATATCATGCTGAAAATGTGCAAGAAAGAGGAGACTTCACCAAGGGCTCAAGGTCATGGAGATCCATTGAGAAACAGCACTGTGGGTCTCATGGCTCTAATAGACCTGATGGTCAAGACCTCTCCTTATTGCTCTCAGATAGTAAAGGCAGAAGCTGCCCACTTCTTCCAGAGCTTTGTGTTGCTTTTCTTCATCTCTACCACCTGGAACCCCTCCACGTGCCTGCCTGGGCTCACTCCAGTCTCCTCCCTATGGCTTCACAAATGTCTAGAAGAAATTTTGCATGCCAGGGCAGAAACACAAGCAGATGCTCGTAGTTTCTGTCTTTCTGAGAGAATGACACAACAGAAATCCCTGCATCCCTGAATTTAGGAAACTTCCTCATGGAAATGACAATTGTTTCCTTGAAGTCATTGGGAGTTGGCTCTCCTTACACACCCAGAAGCACAAGGCATCTCATTATGCCTCTCCATACCACTGAAAGCAGTATGGCCTCAACATTGTACAGCAGCAATTAATTGGCAGTGCAGACAGAAAATGAAACCTGAAACAGCCTTGCCCTATTGATGGATTACCTGACACTGGATTTCCCTGCTTCGGGGCACTTTAATCAGAGTGCAGGTCTAATGAGAAGGAAGTGTGTTGTTTCTCATTTTCCCTATTGTTTCTGCCAGCTTTGTAGGTATGTTTCCCTGGCTTGTCGGATTATACAAGATGCAACATCTAGCAGGTTGTTTTGAATAAGCTTTTTTAGACACAGCTGACCTTCATCCTAAATTGATCTTATGTTCTAACTACTATCAAAAGTGGAGCATCTACATTACTCCACAATGCTAAAATTACTGTAATTTGTTAGCAAAAAACTGAACAAATTACTTTGCCTTCCCATGTTTTGTTATTTTGGCCAGAAACATTTTTTTTTTTTTTTTAATATACAATGCAGATCAAAATTAATTCAGCAAAAAGTGCTTGCCAAATTAAAAGAGAGCTTTTTATTATTTTTAGAACTTATTACTATTAGATCTCTAATGCAGAAAAGCTCCCTTACTGAGGAAAGCATTTAAGATGTGTTTCATCACAGCTTCTTGACTTCAGCAAGATCCAGGTATGTTTCCAAAACTATGCTAGACAAGGTACAAACTTCACATGAAGAAGAGATACTTCTCTACCAAGGGACTCCCAGTCTGAATGATGCTAATACAGACCAGGCATGCAACACAGCAGGTCAGCTGTAGTAGCTTAAAAGCTGTGGGATGTTTGTGAGGTTTTTTGTAGCACTGTTTGACAATTAATCAGATCCTACTATGTGCTGATTAGAGAAAAAAAAAGGTTAGATATGCAGTCACTGCACTCGTGTCTAGCTTTATACTGCAAGTTGCTCTGTCACCCAGAAGGCAGGAAAGGGGAAAAAAAAAAAACATCGCCATGAAGGCAGCTTGCATGGAATCTGGCCTTACTGGCCACAAATTAAATGGACTCCAAGGTAATGAAAATCTGACCTGCTCAACAAAAGGAAATGAATATTACAGCTGGTCACCACAGCTAACAATGTGTTCCAATTCTTTTAGACATTTTCACCATGTTCACCAGATGGAGGCTTTGGAAATGGGCAGTTTGTGAAGGAAAAGGATATTGGGTTTTATTATTTTTTAACTTCTTACCGTGACTGGCAGGGGTGTGTGTTACATTTCCTGACCTGGGGCTCAGGGCGATTCACTCGTTGGCAGTCACTGTCATTCACCAGTGTCATGGTCTTGTTAATAATTCGAGTACAGGACACAATGGTTTTCCGTTCACCTAGAAGTAAAATTAAAAAAAAAAAACACAACAGAACACTGAAAAAGGAAAACAGGGGCTAAGAACAAAGCCATTATCAACCTGTTAATCAGAACTCAAAAGCTAGAGCTCCCTACTATCTCTACAAGATGTAATCTATACAGACTTACAACCTCTGCAAGCAATCTCCTTTCTCATTCTGGTTTACCTTTGCACTGTTCTGTATTTTTTTCAGCAAAGCTACAAATCTTTCCTCAATAATTGTGAAATTGACTGCTTCACAAGAACAGGATGCTGGGCTTTCTCTTTCTTAGTGTTTAATGTGAAAACGATCTTGAAAACAATTTGCTTTCATTTCTGGTTCCTCCTCCACATGTAGCTGTGCCCTGTAATCACCTAGGACAGATGCTCCAGCTATGTAAGCTGAAGCCACAAAACTGTCCACCCCTCAGTGACTGATAATGATGGGACAGCTGGCTCTTGCTGCTTCCCATTCAGAGCCAGGTTGAAAAGGAGTGACTGGGGTGGGTGGTGATAAACTGGGCTTGTTCATATTTCACAAAAAGGTAAAATTAAGCCACAAAAATAAATTATTTAACATCTTCTAGTCCTCCAGATATACAACTTTAAAAACCCTTCCAGTAGGAGACATCTCAGGAGCAGTCAGTGTTTCTCACATAAACTGTCTGTGCATCAGGAGTTTCACCACAGCAGCGTGGCCCTCAGGGTTCAGCCTTCCACTGTGTGACATCAGGAAAGCTGTGCCACAGGGCAGCATGACAATGACCAGATGTGACATGGAAAATGTCATCCCTGCATCATGTGACTTTGCTAATTATTTTGGTTTCTCAGATCCTCCTCTTAACCCTGACTCTGCATCAAATGGAGTTTATTCATGATGTTCAGCAGATAATGAAAAAAAAATGTTAAAATAAAAAACCCCCTCAAATTCTGTTAATAAGTAATTTGTAAAAGTCTGTATGGAAGGGAAAAGGCCCTTCCCAGCTTGGATAAGCAGTAGAAATATCTGACAACAGAAATATAAGAGATCAATTGCCATCCAAGCTACTACTGGTGGGAGTCACGTTGCCAGATACTGATTTGATTCAAGTATGTGGCAAGCTTGCAACACAAATCAAAAGAGCCACAAACAAATTTCCTACATATTCATGTGAAGTTTTAATGGCTCTAAGAAATGATTGATTTAAAACATGAGTAAAAGTAAGTGTTCATTTTAAAATGAGTTCTCTTTACAGAAAAAAATAAAACCATGGTTTCAGTACATTGAGGGCAGTGAGGATGAGCACTCTTTCTTTGTGTGATATAATAAGATAAATAATTGGTTCTGCTGGTGAAGAAAGACTGGTCAGAATGCATGGAAATTATCCATTTTCCTCAGGGAAAAATCTTCTTCCAGCACTGAAAATTCAACGGACAGTGGCTGACAAACCAGTCTCTGGTTTCACAGGCATCAGTTCCCTCTAGGGTTTCAGCAAATCTGTCTCAGCACATCCTAGGGATCATCTGAAAAGTGTGATTGGCAATGAGCTCATGTACTCCTAGAAAGTCCACCCCACATTAAGAGCATCTGACACAATCTCCAGGGGTTGTCACAGCAGCACTGCCCCAGTTTCATCCCTGGGGAAGGAAGTGTCTTTCAGTGAACGTGCCTGAACACCTGTGAAAACTCTGCTCCAAGAATGTGACGGAGGCTTGAGATATGGGGCTGCACACAGCGCCTTGAGCCATCCGTGGAGCACTGATCCAGGTGCAGCTCCAGCCTACGGTAATGAGCCGACAAAGCAGTGTTCATGCCAAAATGCTGGGTGAAAATTAACTGTGGGGATGTGGATGATAGCTGGGAGAGCTGGTGAGAATGAGCTCTCATTTGAGTTCATTATGGTAACATTCATTCCCATGGCCAGTTTCCTTCATGCTTTGGCAACACTGTTTTCTGCAGGCACCTCTCTAATGGCTGGTGTCTGCAAACACCATACAGCAAGTCTCACCAAGCTTCCAAATGGCCTTACCTCCTCCACACTGCACGCTGCACCCTTCCCATCCGCTGTGAGTCCAGATGTACAAAGAATCCTGTTGCTTTTCTGGCTCGCTTCTGTTTTCAGCAGTATAGTTTACAGGAATGGTGTATTCATAATGAATTCCATAATTCTGGTCATGAAATAACAGCACCTGGAAAAAACAGCAGGAAAAGAAAAGCTGTTACAGCACACTGTGTACTGGGAAAGCCAACAGACTGCAGAGACAGTCATGCTGGAAATACTGTCTCAAGGCAATATATCCTAAATATGAGTACCTCATGAAAGTCAACCAAATCTTTATCTAGAAGACTGAAATTACAGTGACATGGGCAAAACAGGGCATCTGCAGGAGCAATAACTGCTCATGTGAATATTTAAAACAGTCAGAGATGTCTAAACCTGCATAACTTTTTTTAAGCCTCAAATGTGTTCAGCAGACCACTGGGTATCTAAAGAGAAAAAGTAAGACAACAGGAAGCATTAAATCACCAGTTTTCATATAACAGCTATTTTAATGAGCATCTAGAGCTAAAAAGTCACTCATCATACTTGTCCTACCCTTGTTTTCTAGAAAGCAAGTTGTCTGCAAGCCTCATGCAGAGACTCAGGCTGGGGACTTTTGTAAAGAATGGGGAAGTTCTAGGTTAACACTGTACTGTCTATGGATCATGGTCCTGGGCAGTCTGCTCCATGCTACCCTGCTTGAGCAGGGGGTTTGGACACGACAGACTCCAGAAGTCGCTTTCAACTTCAACCATTCTGTGAGCTGCAGCATTTGCTGTTACGTTTGAGCTGGGCTGCAGCAATCCACAGTTTGAAGGTAGAAATGGTTATTAACACATCTGAAGGAACATGGTGATCCTTCTCAAAGCAAAACAACTAATGCAAAAAAAAAGTCACATGCCTCCTGGGAAACGTGGCACTGAAAATGAGCATGACTATTCCTGCTAAAAAAAAGCTGTAGGAGCAGGATTTTATTATCTCAGAAACCTGAGGATGAAAAGGAAGAGACATATCATACAGCTGCTGGCAACATATATATTTTCATACCCTGCATATTGCTCGAGGAAGATGAAACCTGCTTCCAACAGCAGGCTGGCTATTTCCCATGGAGTGACATGTGATGTCTCCAGTGTTATTACTCCAAAATTCACTGTCCATTAAAAAAGACAGAGGAACAGAGAAATACACTTGTTTTTTCACCACAGGCAGATGTCAGTTCTGGTCCTGTTTTGATTTACATGTTAGACTTCATTTGACTCTCACTTTCACTGGCTTGACTCAGAAATGACTAGAAGATACTCAATAGAGGGTCTGTGAAATCTTAGTTACCACACTATTAACGAATGCCATAGAAGTTTTACTGTAATGCTGATGGTGTGGCTTTAGACTTGCTTATACTTATTATCCCATAATCTCAGCAGCATTAGACAGGTAAATTCTGCAGGCCTTTATCACCTACTGAAATAGGAGCAGCACCTTATCAAATAAGATATTTTAAGTAGGGCCATCATAACTGAAGCAAGCAGCTGCCCAAGGTTTTTTTTTTTGATGCTAAAAAAAGCAAATTCGCAGAAGTTATTTTCTCCCAACAATAATTGTTTCCCGTTCAGATTTGCAGAAATCACTCCTACTTAACCAATAATCTCACTAAAGCTGTCATAAGCTCATTTAAGCAAAAAAATAACCGTATGTGCTGAAAGAAGGGGTTCAGCTTGCAGCCACTGACATCCTGGAAGTCTGTGCAGTGACCACTGTGGGGCTACACAAACTCAGCACCCATGAGTTGCTCTGCACAGTGCATAACCCTGGGCAGAAAAACACCTTCCAGAAGATGTGGGCAACAAAGATACGATTTTGCTTCAGCTACAGAGGGAGCTTTACTACCAGAACTGAATTCCAAGGTTGAAACTAGCCAGCCATCATTACAGTTTCAAAGACAAATGTTTTGGGGTTTTTTTTTTAAACACAATTTGAAATTCCAGGCAGTCAGAGGCAGAGAACTCAAGTTCTGCTCTGGCTTTCTTTAAGTGCATGAGATATGGATACGAACAGCTTGTTCTACAGAATTGATCCATCAGTCTTGTCGAAAGCATCTTTATGTTCTGGGAGTGTTTGGTTGTCCTCTGTTGCCAAGAGGAGGTCTAGCACAGGCCTAGTTACACAAACATTAATTTCTCCAAGAAATATACTTACAGCAATGCACTTGGAGTAATGCCTCAAGTATTAAAAACCAGCTCCTAAAAAGAAATCCTTATTATCTCAATATGGGTGCAAGACTAGTGAATCTAAAGGCCCATATGAAACCAATTTCATGCAATTTCGTAGCCATATATAATTGGGGTATATGTGTATGTGTGTATAATTGGTTTCAAATGCAGGTCACAATGGACTGACTGAAGCTTCTGGCTCTTTGTCAGTCCAGTGTATTCCACCACTGTTTTCTATTTCGGGGTAACTGGTAACCATTCTGCCTTTCTTGCATTGAAAGAATGAAACCCACTACCCTGTATCAAGGAAAAGATTAATGTTTGATTTGAAGAAAAGACTTCACATATGCTTTGTTTACAACTGGCAGTGATTTTAAGCCATATGTTTTTTTTAAATGGTCTGGTAACTTTTACTTTCCTCCTTTTTAATCATTTTTAGGGGGAAGGTGAAGAAGGAAAATTTCCTCTGCTCATATGTGCTGAAAATGCCAGTCTGTACATGAAAAGGATACTCATGGAGAACCTGATAATCACTAGTTTCCTATGCTAGTTGCTTACTCCTTAATGAAGTGAGTATTTCTTTAAAAACAAAGCTCTACTGATGCTGAAGTTCACAAACTCTGGTACCAGATTTTACTGCAGTACACCTCAACGAAGAACCACCCTGGGAGGTTCCAAGAGCTGGCAAAGGGACCTTGCACAGCACCTTCACAAACGGTACCTGTGCAATTCCTTTTACTTACATGAGGTTAGGAAGACTTTGGCAGTACAAAAAACTTTGTCAAGAGTCCTGGTTTCAGGAGGGAAGACTGTGTTAAGGCCAAAGTCAAGCAGAAGCTGACTCTTCTGATGATGAAGATGGCTCCTCTGTACACTCCCCTTGTGTGGGCAGACTTTGAATTACATGGCCGAGTCAGGAAGGTGCCGGTGTGCCCAAACCTGCACCACTGACTATTTCAGTAGTAACCTCTTTGAATCCAGCTTTACACTGGTCTAACCTAGTAAACTCACTCGTCTGTCTGATAAAGCAAAGACAAAACATCTCATGTTCCTATGCAGCATATTTTGACACAGGAGAAATACTGACAAAGTGGAGTATTACTATTATTTTTGTGTCTGTGTGTGAAAAGTTCAACCGACTTTTGAGCTTTTCAAACTAGTCCATTAAATGTTGCACAAGGAACATCAGCAAGCCAAAGAATTCAGGTGAGGAAAGAGAGAGACTTGTGATTTTTAGCAGTGCTTACAGATACCCTTCAGTGAACAAACATGGCAAAAATTCACAAGGAGAAGAACCAGTACACAGAAAAATGTAATTGGATAAAAAGTTACAGGAAACAATGCATACATTAAAACACTCCATGTTTGTATGCAAACTTTGCTATAGAAACTGGAAAGCTTTCTGCAGATTTTCAAGTAGTAACACATATATGTGACAGGCATTATTACAGCTATCTTACAGATATCAACATTAAGGGACTGGCCCATGAGTCACCCCATCACTTATCAGTGACAGGACTGGGACTACAATCCTGTTCTTCTCACCCCTGTGGACTTCTCACTCATATTCTCATACAGCAGCCATATGACTGTTGATAGAATGACATGCCTGGTTAACAGAAGGAATATGTTGAACATTAGGAAAAAAATTCAGGAACTCCTTAAAACACATCAAATTAAAAAAAATAATAATAAAGAAAACGCAGAACATTTCTGTGTGCAGCTAAGTCACTACAGAAGGTCAAATTAAAATGTATCATCTGTACATTCCAAATCTGCATCTCTTCTGTTAGAGCAACCATGTATTTAAATAGAGAATATGTTCTGGCATCTGCTGAGGAGATATTTCAGCAAATATCCTTTCCTGTGCATGAGCAGGTATGTCCACAAAATAAAGGCAACCCCTAGGACCCTGTGTCTTCTAGAATGGACCTGTCACATTGTTTGCAAAATATTACAGGAGTATCCTGTACTGGACATGAGCCTACTGGGATATTGCACGTTCTCCCAGAAGAGACCATAATTTATTTTTCAATATGGAGCTGGTTTTCCCCAGCCCTTGCAATGCTGCAAAAGAATGGCACTACAGCATACCCTTAAAAAACTCTGGTGAGGAAGCAAACAATCAAAGATTAACTTTCAGCTAGGATATAAACCCTTTATGTTGCATCACTTAAGAAACACAAACAAAGGATATAAAGTTACCATCAAGTGTAGTGGTATTTTAGTTGGTCCTTTGGCAGAGATTTTCTCCCACAGACCCCTTCGCACGTACCGGACAGTAGTGCCTGCGATCTGAAACTCACCAGGAAGCTCAATTTTCCAGTCGCTGTTAATGGATCTCTTACTGGAATCTTTTAAAGCTGGAATGAATCAAACACCATGGAATAAAATGTAAGCGAATTTGTAGTTACAATATAGACTATTGAGCTTCTGTCTCAGCCCACCTGAAGTACAAGAAGCAGGAGCCTCGTAACAGGCGTGAGTTTAAAAGTTTTATCATTTTAGCTGACTCATTATAAGGTTTCTAACTTGGCCATATTCTGTATTTCAGTTCATGAAGGCATTTCTAATGATATTAACATTGCTATTAAGTAACAATAATGTCATATAAACTGGTCTTGCTAAGGTTTTACTACCTAAAATTATTAAGTTCTGCTTTCTGAATAAGCAATGTTCTCCAGTTTCAAAACTTCAAGGCATTCTCCGTGCCATTCCACTGCCAGAAAATTTAGAGAAGAAAAAAAGAGTGTGTAGAAGGAGTTACAAGAGAAATAAAAGGAAGTAAGGATAACTACCCCTTGTCCTTGACAAAATACTACTAATTTAGGACTAAATGGCAGAACTCTTCCACAGTTTGACCTGTTCCAGGAGCACATCCAAAAACCACACATACTCATGGCATATCGTTCAACTCAGTTACGTATACAGCTCTGCTTTTGCAAAGGAAAGCTTGCACAACTGAAATGTTTTTCTTTGATTTTCAGTGAAGAGAGATTTAATTTGGATTTAAAAGTAATACTAAAATACTACAGCATTGTGCAAACAAGCAAGAACCACAAAATAGAAGTGACTGATTAGGAAAGTACAAAACTTAAGAGCCCATTTTCCTTACGCAAGCTGAGCAGAGTGCAGATTGTAAACAGAGAGCATAATTAGAGAACAAACAGAGCCATAATTCTTCCTGGAATAATCTCAGTATTATTTCTCAAAGGCTACATGGGAAACATGTAGGCTTGTATGTAAAAAGAACATGTCTAGAATATCTGGTATATTGGAAATTAATACTTAGATAACTTTAAGGATTATTCTCTAATCTAATTATTTAGATTTTAATCTTAGAAAAATGGATGGTATCATAAATTTGGACACATATACCAAATTGGCAGACATGATGTAAGAATCTAATACCACAGAGTAGCTGCCTGAGTATGATCTGAAGATATTTCTGGTAAAACTCTTACATATTTGCAATGTATATACTTACACTCTTAACAGCTATTAAAACTGGTACTTGGAGTGAAATAGTATGAGCACCAGCGGGTGTAAACCAAAGTCTGGTATTTGCAAGGCAAGATCTGTATGATTTTTTGTAGACTGCTGATCCTAAGACTGACTAAAGTCTGGCAGCAGTTGGGTTCAGAGATTTTCATTTAGATAGTATATTAGGAAACCTATTCCAATCTTCAATTATCAACATAAAATTCATAGATCATTTACCTCTAAACTCTCCTTCCAAATGCAGCAAGACAACTCTGCTTTTTTTTTTTTTTAGTTTCCAAGCAGAATCAGCTTCTGAAACTGTATTTATTTTCCTCAATTTCCCTTGAGAAAAAGATCAATCAAATCTTTGTGTTGATACATATGTGAAGATTTGCAAGTGCAAAATAAAACTGTTCCTGAGTTTGTGTGTGCTCCATAACGCAAACATTGAACAAACTAACATTTAGCTGTCAATAGCTGTAAAGAGAAGTCAAGTTACAAAGCTGAGACTGGTCAGTGGACAGAATGGGAACTGAACTTAATGCCGCCTTGTGCCCAAGCCTGGAGGGCAGAATATTCCAACCTGCAAGCACTACCTACAGGCACAATTCAGAATGGCCCTTAGCTTGTTCTAAATTATTCCTGAGACTTTTTTGTGCATTAAAAAACTGGACAGGCATTATAAAGCTCCAGCATCAGCAATAAGCAGAGCTTACAGTCAGCATACTTCTTGATGCTTTCTTTGCTCTCAAAAGGCAGAAGCAGGTGAGATACGGTCTACCCCTGGGTTTGATGGAAACCAGGCCACAAATAAAAAACATCATCAGGCAAGGAACAGCCTGCCACAGCCAGCCTCCTTTCAGAGTCCATGAGCTGGACGCACATGCATAAGGTCAGATACTGTAGGACCACATTCATCGTGTCAGGAATTGCCTCTATGCATCAGTAAGGACAAGGAAGTAACCTCTACTGCAGAAGGAAGCCTGGTAAGATGAATATTGAGAAGATATTTGGAGTAACACGTCCTTTCTTCCAGCATAAGCTATTGCATCAGCATCACTGATATCCTTCAAACACTGAAAGACAACTCTAGCCATGAGGACATCACATGACTGTTGATTCATCAGTGCGAGTTGATTTAGGGATGTACGTGTTTTCTGCATTAGAAATGAAGCCCAGTTATTCAGATGTCTCCGTGATGCATGGAGGGAAGAGAAAATTGGCAGACCCTGTTCTAACAGAGAGTCCCAGGCCCCTTTGTGGAGATCCATGCACCATGATCAAATTTGCTCTGACATCAGACAGACAGAATAGCCTGAGTGTTACTGGGCTTCCTTAGTTCAAGGTTTACTGTGCCTTTTGGCTAAGCCGTTAACAAGATGTTTTCTTAACCTCCAGCATTTCATGCCTATTTTATTCTCTTCTAGTAAAAAACCACAACCTTGGCTTTCACTTAACTGAGTGCATTGCAAGAAGGTAAAAGGAGCTGATTTAAAGCCTTTTCAAGTCAACAGGAAAATCTCCTATTGTAATTTCTTTGGATCAAGTCTCCATAGCCAGTAAACCCTTCTAGGTGTGCTCAGGCCATACCATAATTGCCTAATATACTTTAGGAGACAAGGAACTGGACTTCTTGTCAAGTGCACAACACACCTGACTTACCAATTGGGTCTAATACACTGTGGGAGTGTTTGTAGCAATACTGGGCTATTCTGCGTAGACTTTCCTTTTATTCTAGTTGGCCATGTCTAAAATCTTTAATATAGCTATTACAGTGAAGGTACTCTCAAGAAATGAGGGGTCAGTTGAGCACTTCCTCAAATGGGGCTTAAGAAGAAGGAAATCCCCATTAGTTTTCTCTTTAGAGAGTATCCTGAAAAACTGTTCTATTTGGCTCAACAGGACAAGTGCCTGGCTCCACAGATCCCAGAGGGTCTGCTGAAGGTAAGATGAGATATCTGAAGTGATTCCAGCACAGGTCACCAGTGGAAACCTATTTTTAGACTCTTCCATGTCTCCAGTGCACAGACATGTTCCCAGGGAACCTCTATGTTGTTAAAAATGGTCTCTAGCATGGTCTCTAGCATACGTTATGGCCCAGGTCAACTTGAATTCTCCCTAAAAAACTCCTAGTGTGGGTCAAGATCCAGGACTATCCAGGGTCCCTTCTCAATAAGCAGTATGAAGGCAGCCCCCCTTCACTGGGGGCTGAGAGCCCATACACCAGATGCTCCATGATCGCTGGCTTCAGTGCCCAGGAATATTTCAGGGCACATTCAATTTCCTGACTGACATCATTTGTAGTGTCTGACCTCTGGGGAAGTCTGGAGCAGGTGGAGGTCACAATGTCCTCTGCGTCTGTGTGAGCCTTTCTGAGGATCTGCATTCTGGGAGCTACTGGAGAAAAGTGGAACATCCTTCTGTCCTGCTGCACACAACCTTCCTGACAGCTCTCACAGTCCCATTAGAGGCTCCAAAATCAGGGTGAAGGGAAACTGCAGGTATGGTTTCTTCAGGAGTATGTGGGGGAATGTTTCTTCTGAGGAACGTTCTCTTTGGCACATAAACTAAGGGTATGATGATGTCCTGGTATTTGCATGCTACAGCAATATAACTCTGTCAGCGGCTTACTTCTCTTCTTGCTTTGTTCCTCAATCTACAAAGCACCTTCTGCAAACTTCAGACACAATTCTGAAGCAGGATTGCTTTCCTCTGCCAAAGCCTAGTGGCTTCCAGGCAGATCAAAGCAGCCATCATGCTGGCCTTGAGGAGCCGTGAACATGACAAATCAAAGCTGTGGATGAGATAAAACAATCTCCAGGCAGTATGGCTGACTAGATATCACGGCACATGCTCAAAACAGTGCCTAAGAGCTTGAATGACTAAAACTATGCTTTGGTTCCAGCTCATCATCAAAGGAAGATAGCTCACTGATGAAAAACAAAATGTTTAATCTTTGTGGACCTCTTTTCTGAGAAAGGTTTGATTTTGATTGCTGCAGGCACTGCTCCCTTAGTGATTGAGGAGATGGAGAGTTTTGAAACAGCCCTGTTCCCTCAGGTGCTCCTTAAGAATTGCAGGAATTACACTGGAGACTCAGCAGAGTATTTGGGCCAAAGTGTTCTCACCGCTGTTTGTCTTCACGGCACACAACTGCCCTATCAGTAAGGATCAGTGCTGCAGCTATAAAAACTCCATGTCTCTTAGACACAGGGTACTGCTCTTTCTCCAATGGCTTTTGTCACAGACAACTATAGCAGGTCTGGCTGTGCCCAGCCCCAGAGGTGACAGTACTAAATTCGGTGGGATAAATAAGGCCTTTTGCTCTAATCGAATGCTGTGCTTTTCCCTCAAGCATTGCAGAAACACTTTGCAAGAAAGCAAATATCTTTACTGCCATTTTAGAGAATAAGGAAAGCATGCAACAAAGAACACGTGCCCAACCTCTCTGAGAGCTCAGTGGCAGAAGCTGAGGAGACCAGGATACATGTACTGTTCTCTGACAGAACTTGTTTGACTGTGATGGAAAAGCCCAAAGAGGAAAGCAGTTGTGAGTGCTTTTTGCCAAGCAGTTCTCACTGATTTAAGTTAGCACCCAGAGGATTTATTCTGCCATGGACAGCTGGCTGAAGGTCTCCTGGGATCCTATCCCTCAAACAGGGTAGCAAAGCCCAGCTCCTTCTCTTCTCTCCACTGTGGGTGCATTTAGGCAGTAGCAAGAATCCACCATCACATCTCTAAGCTTTTTCTGGCTCAGAGTTGTACAGTAGAAGAGCAAAAGAAAAAGGAACCCCAGCAACAACCCTGTAACTTTTTTTGCTGTTGGTTGGAAGACAGGAACTGACCAATCTATTTCTAAACCTGGCATCTAGTCAGATCTTTACTTCCACCTTGGGTCCCTCCAGCTTGCTTCCCAGCCTGTGGACACAAACTGCCGAGGCATTTCCTGTTCAAGGTGGTTTTTAAGCGTTACAGCCAGCCAAGGCAGCCAGCGTGGGTTGCCTGTAGGTGGAGGGAAATTCTTCAGGCATGGCTCCCAGCACATGGAATAATGATTCCAAATTACCCTGGGCTCATTTCCAAAGTGCTGTACCCGGTTCTGAGTGGAAATAGGACCTGATTGGACTCAACTTTGTCAGTGTAATTGAAATAGAAAATCCTTCTATACTCAGACCTGGATTTACAATGCATTATGAGGCCTATCAGAGCAATTGGATTTTGTTTTCCTGGTCATCTTTTTTGTCCTATTGGTAACTCTTGCTACTATTCTTCAGATTAGGTTAGCATGACATTGGGTATCTCTTCTTTGTGTCCAGTGTTCCTTGAAAGAAAAAACCCTAGAAAGCTTAGGAGAGGCTCCCCTGGCTCCTGACCATGAACCAAAGAGCTAAAAGCATTCAGAAGCTTTAAAATAGCTGGATTTTTATCTATATGTCATGCACACAGGGCCAAATCCTGCTCTCAAATATACACAAACCTAATTTCCACCATCCAGTGGGGAAATATCTGCTTTAGTCAAGGTTGTGGTCACAATGAAGGGCAGTCACTAGCTCCATGTAAGACTCTCAGTGCTGCAGCTATATGCCAAAGCCCAAGCCCCGGACAAATACCCTTTGCAAAACCCACCAAGACAAACAAAAAGGCTGGCTTCTAGAAGGCAGAGTATTTGCAAAACCCAAGGAAACACTGGCTTTCATTGTTCCACCAGTGCTTTGCTATGTCAAACATCTTACGTGTAGGCGTAATCCTCTCCCAGCAAGCTGGCTGCAGCATTAGTGGAAATACTAGCAGTGGTGATACGTGCTTCCTACCAAGAAGTGGCAGAAATGCCAACACTTTTGAAATAAGGGCAGCTGAATGACATGATTTCCCTCTTTTTTCCCCCCTGAATCTGGAATGAAAGACAGAGAACAAAAGTGTCTTTCCCAGTGATATTGCCAACTTTGGTAGCATCTCCAGACAGAAAACCAATGGCACTAGACCCGAAATCCTCAGACACAATCAGTGTGTAAACATTTTCAGCAGCATCCTATATCCCAGTACTAGATACCAACATCACCTTTTGGTTGTGGAGATGGAGGATTGTAAGCAAAACACATGGAAATCAGAAACCAAGGGTCCCAGTCTGAGCTTTGCTACTGACTCCCTGCAGAGCCATGAGAAAGTTGAAACACCTCAGTTTCCCCTTCTGCAAAACAGAAAGCAACGAGCTTCATAATCCTCTCAGAGTTCCTACCACAGGCTTGATACATCCCTGGAAGCAATTCCATCTTTCAGAGTGCTTTTCCATCCTAAAACCTTGCAGTGTCTCTGCTCTGAGAAGCTCACTTGGAGAGAACTAGAACATGCACAAGTGAAAACAGTACCTAATTCTTCCCAGGCTATGGGAGAGCTGGAACATGCATCTGTTCCAACTACTGCCATGAGAATATCAGCACGTGGAAGGGCTGAAACACTGTTTGATACAGAAGGACAAAAATCCTGTGTTAATAAGCTCATCAACAGCAAGAAGTGATTAGGTTTGACAATGCAGGGACCTATAAGCTGCACAAATTCATTGAACAAAGGAGGAAGTTTGGGATTTTCTCTTATCCTTGAGTTTTCCCACACAGCATAAAGCACTTGAGAGACAGAAGAATTCCCCCGTTCATGCGTGGCCATGCACCTCTGAGTGTGCAAAGGATGTTTCAATGTGCTGGGTGTTCTTTTGGGCCCTGGACAATTTTCCTTCAATTCCCTGCCACAGGCTTCCTGTGTGATTTCAGGGCAATGGAGCATTTCTGTGACTTGGTCTCCCTAGAAGTTGATGGGAGATAAAGCCCTTCATCTATTGCACAGTAATGACACAAAAAGAAACACCCCTAACATCACAGAGAAGAGGCAGAAGACCAGACTGACAGAAATATATTGTAGCTGATTGGTTGAATTTTACAAATGCCCTTGCAATCTTTAATCTAAGCAATTAGTAACTGGATAACGAATTTGTTTACAGACTCTGCCCTACAACAACCTCACCTATAAATCTGACCCCTCACCCATGCCTAAAACTTTGTTTTCCAACAGAGGAAAGAGGAGAGGAAGCCTGTCCCCCTCAGAAGGAATGCAGCAGTAGAAATAAGAAGAGGATTAAACAAATTGTTTGTCATGAGAAAATAAAGGCAAGTAGACTAGAGGCTGCAGCTAGCCCATCTCAGAGTGCAGGATCAGGTCTTGGGTACAGCATCAAGTGAAAACCTGCTGCTGAAGGAAGTGGTGAAGGCAACCTCATGGTCAGGTTACTGAGGGATATGAGCTGCCTTGTCCTGCCTCTGCTCCAATCTGAGCTGGGCACCTTCCTTCCATCTGTATCTCTGCCATTCCTTTCTCTAAACGCACTGTTCTCTTTCCCACTCACTCCCTAAGTGGTGTGTGCTCCTGGCAGCTATGTTCAACTCAGCGCCAAGTCCTGTTCAGGAACTCTTCTGTCTATATAAAAGCATTCTCTGGTCCTTTCAGGTTGCAAAGGGCCTGTAAGTGTCACATACTATCACATCAAGCAGACATCATGAAAACAAGCCATGAAAGCAGAGAGAGATTGCAACAAGAATGAAATCAACAGCAGCTTCCTGGCAACAACAAACCTATCATCTTACAGGTCATTTAGAGAAGGGCCATTTTAACAGAAAACAGAGCTGAGTTTTGAATCAAAACATTTTTTTTTTCTTTTTTTACCCAGAAAACTGTGAGCAGGTTTATCCTCGACCACTCTGATCCGCCGGGCACCTGCAGGGATGACGGCTGCTTCGATGTAACCTGTGGCAACAAAAGGGCAGATGGATGAGAGCACGTCACAGCCAGCCAGAGACATCGGTCATTCAGCATCTCACTGTGAAAAAATCAACTCCTGCCCAGGTTGGGGAATGAGTGGGAAACACTTCCAATGAGATCCCTGCACTGGCAGGCAAGTTTCACTGCTGGGACATGCATGGTTATAACTAATATTTCAGCCTGAGAAGAGGGAGAGAAATGCACGTGTGCTGCTTAATTGTGACTTAAGGCTTGTGCTTGGGCTTAATTAGATCTGCTCTCTTCGAATCACCCTGGCTTTCCTGAAGCACTGACAGGGGTGCATGAGGACTGTTCCTGAGCTGATGCAAAGAGTCACTGTCAGGAGCAACACTGCACATCACAAAACAGACATCTGTGAGCTGAAGTTTCTACCAGGTGCTCCTGCCGTTCTCTCCCCAGAAAACCCCTGCTCGAGGCTGTGATCAGGACCAGAAAGGACTCACTTCCACAAAACATTTTGATGATGCTAAAAACTAAAACTAAACAGCAAGAATTAGTGGGACTTACACTTCAGCTTTATAAAAAAATTCTGGAGGATATAATGGTAACAGTCTTCTTGCATCTGGCTGCTAAACAGATTTCCACAGCTCAGATTTAAGGCAACAACAGAGCTGTAAGTTTCTCAAGGACTGACCACTGGTCACCTCTAAATGCCACCAGCAGATGCACAGACCAAATTAGACCATCTGAACATCTGACACAGTAGGGAAGCACACAGCACCCCATCATATTTATATAGAATTCTCTTGGTCTTTATCTTTCTGGAATTCTCTTGGCCACTTTCTGCTTCCTTCAACAACCAGGAATATGATGCAATTATACCACTTTTGACTAACAGAAGAACAGTGAGAATAATTAGGAGCTACAAGGAAATGTCGCCTGTTCTCCTCCACCACAGAGCCATGTGGAGTTACGTACTTGTTCCATGGGGTAGAAGTGGTGCCTTTAAACTATAAAGCTGAGGAACATTAGGGCCCATTTCAAAGGTCTGAGAGCCAGGCAGAGTTTTTCCACCAGTTTCATTGGACTCTGAATCAGGGCCCTCCAAGTGACACTAATCTCATCACAAATCACAACCATGATTTGATTCCTACTAATTGGCCACCCAGTTTACTTTGCAGTGTATAACTTGGCACCTCTTTTGGGTTATTGCTCTCCCCTTTCTTTTAGATGTTAAGTAGCTTATCCCATATGCTCCTTCATCCCTTTTTTTGCTTTAAAGGACTGTGTGAAACTGTTCTGTGTCAGTCCTGCCTTTATGGAAACTGTGGGCAATCTGGAGTACTGGGTTGAAGAAGTGCTGGCATAAGGAGCAGTGGCTCCTCTAGCATTCAGCAATGTCTGGGGAGCTATTTTAGGGACATCTGAATGGCCACGCTTCTGATAGGGGGGCTTCAAAGGAGGATGCTGGCAGCCTCATGCATCTCAGGACTAAGTGATTCTGTTACCACCATGACATGGAGTGAGACAGACGGGGATTTTGGGTCTCAGACTGTGGATTCATTCCTACCTGTCTGAATCAGCAGAGTGCCCAGCTCCTTTGTTGTGCTATGAATAAGACTTGAGCTCTTGGGTTTCATGATGTGCATTGGAGAGATTGCTGATTTGGGCCAGACTCACTCCCTCTTTCCATTGTATCTGAATGACACTTCCCATTTGACCCTTCAGCTCAGTTCTTTTTGCACTTGTTCCTTCTTACTTACTTCTCCCTTACTCAGGATATCTCAGAAACAGTCAGTTATCTCTTGCAGGAAAAACAGAAGGACAGCAGAGCTGCAAACCATGTCAGTGTACAGAAGCCAGAGCAGAGGCTCTCCCACCTGCTATTACAAAGTGGGTTTCACTGGGAAAAATCATTACTTCCAGGGTCAATTTTTTTAAGGCAATACCGAAATCTGTTACAAAATCAAAGCAAACAGATGTTGGATTTTATTCTAGACATTGCCAGGAGTTGGTTTTTCATCAGCTGAGATACCAAATTACAGTCAAAATGGAGTGTTTCAGAAATCAAACATCCTCACTGCACCCCATGCATCTGCATATAAACCCGACCGACAGTCACCACCAGACATGAGTACACAGCAAAGGTGTGATTAATAACAGTTCGTCACGGGGAAACAGGCCCCATCACACACCTGATCACCCTGTTAGGAAGCCAGTTTGGAACATGCCCAAGTTTCAGATAATTTAATGTACCTACCAGGGGACTATTTACTTATTTATTTCTTAAATCACATGCCAGATACAAAAGCCCAGAGCTAAATTGTGCAGGGGTTGGATATGAAATTACACTGAATTTAGTGAAAACCCAGTCACTAACTTGAACGAACTCTGGATCCGTCCCCTGACCTGGCAGCAGCCAGGAGTGTGTCACACTGCTTTAGAGGTGAGCAAGCTGTGGAGCCACGCTTGAGGTTCAGCTAGTGCCATAAATACACTCTCATTTCAGCACTGTGCCATGAGAGAAACACCACGTGGAAAAGTTGACTTTTATGTTACTTTTTACAATGGTAAATAGTGGAGTATAAGCTATTAATAGTGTATTAGTTCTGGAGACTATTTAGTTTGGTCTTATACCAGATTTTTCTCCTCATGTAATTTCTAATCCTGATGGATGGCTTTTGGGGGTTGTATTCACAGCTCCTGAATAAGAAGAACCACACTGTGCTAACTCACCGAGATCACGTGGCACAAACCCGACTGCTGACCTTCACTCTTCTGTTAGTGAACTGCAAACCATTTTGCAGTCACATGAATCTGATCTGTCCTTTCAGAGATGAAGGAGAATTCTTGGGCATGTCCCACCAGGAGCGTATTGACAATCTCATTCATTATTTCCACCAATATTGTGTGAGTTAGTGGTGAAATCCTATTGCAAACAGACTATGTAACATCCATGCAAATTTGCCAAAAATACAAACTCAGATTGCTACCACCACTCCAGTCTGGTCCTTAGAGCTAATGTGAGCCTTCTGGTCACAGAATATTCCTGATCTTTGCGGTAATTGCACCAGAAAACACCTCCATTGTTTTCCAGGCACATTTTATTATGCAAACTGTAACTGCAGATTGCCAGAAAGATTATCAAGTGTCAGCTAGTAAGCCCAAAAAAAGTCTCAGAGTTGGCCCTGAGTCAAGGACTCTCAAAGATCTGTTAGGTCTTAGGATAATTGTCTGCAATGCAGGGGTTTGCAAGGTTGGGCTTAAAGTTCTGCTTTAAATGAGGAACTGGCTAAAGACTGATGAGATTTGGCAACTGTCAGGCAATATTTCTAGTAATTTCACCCATAAATCAGCCTGTTAAGATGAAGCTTTGAAAGTACAACAGGAGAACTTCATTATTTGATAATTTATAGTGCTGTATGTAGTATACTCCACCTTGGGAACAGTTACTTTGGCACGCACCAATCTTTCTGGATAATCTGCATTACATCAGTGTCTCAGGAATGTAAGACTGTGATTGAAGCAAATCCTAGATACAAATTATATGGTGTAACTCGTATTAGGAGAGACACCAGAACAAAGAGGTGGCTTTGTCATCAAGGAGATTAATATGTGAACAGTGGCTACTGTATCTTCATTTAAATGCTGGAGAGATTTGCAAGAGGAAAGCAGCTCACACAGGAAAATCCATTGTTAGCCATCATTACCCTTCCCAGAAAGAACAGAAAGTTTAGTGTGAACTTCAGAATGCCACTGATCTACTACAAAACTATTCTCCTGGTTCACACTGCAATGAAAGATGGACTCCAAGGTAAAGGAAAAATTATCCCATGGCTGAAAGTACTGATCTCTGGGCACTGTACCTTCATATCTTATCCCTGTACACACATGAAAATAAGGTGTGAGAAGGTCAACAGTGCTCATCCCATTATCAAACTTCCTGAAAATGCTTTGAAAAAAGATCTCAGGGTAGAAGCCAAGGAAATCAGACTGCCCTGCCTTCCTGCTGGTCACGGCCAGCACAGCTTCCTTAATATTTTAGGGATAAGCACCAGCTGGGCATCTCAGTTTCCATGACCCTTCCCACCCTGCACCTTTTGCTAAGTGCCTGTTGTCGCAGCGGAGTGGAAATACATCCAGCAGTAACTACAGGTCCATTTTCTGAAAAGTTGTGGTTATTCTCATTTGTCATTAGCTTGAGAGTAATTCCTCCATCAGCACCTGTCCACTTCCAGCCATGGGATAGCTCATTTGGAAGAAAATAATTTCACTGGGGAGCCATGGATAGATTTCAAAACCTCCTACTATTGCTGTGAAGTTGGTTGCTGGGATTTCTAACTTACATGTTCTGCTTAAACCCTTACAAGACATCCCAGAATTAGCACTAGGGTTTTATTTTCTCATAATTTAGATGTGTACCCTATTGACAAAAAAAAGAGTTTCTTGTGTTGGCTAAAGATGTTCCTAGCCAGCACTTCTGTTCAAATATCCTCTATTTCTTTTAAATATGGGCTGGACAAGTAACACATACAAGAAAAGACCTGGTTTTTCACTGTCTTATAAAGAAAAATTGCTAGCAAAGATATACTCCCAAAATGATAGTTACAACAACTGGCATATCTCAACCTTAATATTTTCTGCCATTAAAAAAAAATATACAAATTTCTGTGGTCCTTCTTTTGGATCACAAGCAAAGGGCAGCAATGAAAATCTTTATATGGCTGAGAAAAATGAAGAGAGACAGACACAGGTCTCATTCTCAATGCAGGTCTCTGAGCATTACAGGCACAGCCTTGGAGTCTGGACAGGAGTCGTCAGTGATAAATCAGCTACCCACCAGACATGAGCCAAAGAGCTGTCCTTTATTTCAAGGCCCCCTGTACAGTGGCAGGGAGACAGAGATGGACTTAGAACAAGTCTCTGTTTGCTTTTGAAAAATTATTTTGTAGAAATAGGCACAGGGCATGCTGCCAGTCAAACATAAACCTCAGTCTAAACAGTGCATTCAGTTGGCCTACTGAAGACAGCCAGCTGCACACAAGTGTATGTGATGTTTAGCATCACAAATAAAGGCTTTTGACCTCCTCCCCAAATGAGAAATGGAATCCATTTACCACTGGGTCACCCTGGATCACAGGTAGCAAGATCTGAACCTCTGGGCCTCCTATGAGGCACTTTGAATGTTCCAGCATAATGCCCCATCAAGATGACAGAACCTCCTCTGTGACATTAAGGTTGGAAAAAAAAAGAAATAGGCCCAATTATTTTTACTTGATTAATGAAAATTTGGCTTTCTTTCATGCAGATAGGTTTTCTAAAAGGAAAGAATCTGGACTTGATATCTTTCATAAACCAAGCTAAATAGTAAAAGGACTTGAAGTTTATCCATGGCTTTTGATACCACTCTCCCCATCTAATCCAACCAAAAGAAGACACAGAACCAACACCAAAGGATGTCACCAACACCCACTGACACTGCAAACAGCATTCAAGTATCTTACACGAGAAACACTTGGGAACAGCCTTTGCCTTTGCCATCACACATGTGGAAACCTTCTTACAATGACTATTGGTTACTAAGAAACAGAAAGGAGTTGGCATTGGTTTAGTTCAGTTAACAGGGCTTGACAACATTATTTGCAATCACAGGACATATAGGGACCAATCCCACAGTCAACAGAGTCCCATGTGCAGAGCAGCTGAGGATCTGGCCCAAAGATTGCAGCTGCAATTCCCCAAACAGATAGCACTCCAAAATAATCAGTGTCTTGATAGTTGAAGTCTATTCTCTTCTGAAATAATAAATCAGCATACTTGACTCAGTGTATCGGCCTTGACTTGGATCACAGCAAACTTGTGGGGATTTGCCACTGACCTGTGCAATCCCTTACACATCCAAACCCTGAATCTGTCACCGTTGTCACATTGTGTATTCTCCTCCACCCCAATTTTTGCCAGATTTTTGAACATATTTGCTTCAATGACAATTTAAAGAAAAAAGGCCAATTTTTTCTTCTTGAGTAACCTCACCTTCACTTGTGATACCTCTGACCCAACCCCAGAGCTTAGCCTACTGCATGAGATTCAGTATGTTAGCCTGAGGACCTGATTCTGCAAAGCAGCAGTATGTAAATAGAAATTGATGGGAGCAATTCACGATGCATAAAATATTTGCAGAATTGGGACTGGGAATCAGAAGTGAAATCAACAAGTCTGTTTTCAGTGCCTAATATAAAAGAAATCCAAAAGCAGGAAAACATGATGATTAAAAGATTAAATATTCTTTACATTTTAGTAGGCTAGGATGCTCATTAAAAAAACAAAACAAAACAAAACAAAAAGCAAAGATGTTTTACAACCTAGAAGAAGATTGTTTGGCATATCATGGATGTCAATTTTAAAACTATTCGCACATAAAAATTCAACCCCCTTTAAAATTAATAAATCAAAAAATCTAATAAATGTTTCTGAGATTCTAATTGTAAAAACAATTCTCTTGGAGATTATGTGAGATGGGTAAAGGTGGAAAAATGGTATTGACAAAGCAACATTCTGCCAACAGGTTTGCGCTTCTGAGATGATCAGCAAAGAAAAAGGGTCAATAAATGCTTGAACACTGACTATGATTCAGTCAGTCATCCCTTCTTACTAGGTTACAGGGTGCTGAGGGTGAAAGCCTCCTATAGTGTCCTGGCAGCCAAACAACCAGTTAAGGCTGAAACGGTTCTGTTCCTACAGCCTTGTAAAGTTACCACCCTCAAGCAGTCTGTCTAGTTGGAAACGGGTGCAACCTCCTGGCAGTGACCCAGAAATTTCTTATTTATCTGCACAAGATGTTTTGTGGTCTCATTGGAAAAGATAAAAGATCGTTACTCTTCAGGAGCAATTAAGAAGTTCATGAACAGCTAGAAAATTTGCTGCTATAGCAATGGAGAATAGCTTTTTTCAATGGAAATGAGAAACTTTTCCCATCATCTGCATCAAACACAAATGCTTTGTCATATGTAGGTGGAAAATAACTGGGACAAAAGAGTCAAAGGCAATAATGCAGGAAAGCATTCAGCAGGTTGGCCTAGCAATGCAACAGCACAAATGTGCTCCAGAAAAACGTGGTTCAGGTGGGAAATCCTACCTGCATCTCAGAGGAGGTGACAAATCCTAGCTGGCTCCACAGATAAGGAGGAGGAGAAGCAGAGGAAGAGGTCAATAAACAAAATCAGAGCCTCAGACTTGAGTGCTGTTAAGCACTGGTGCTGCTTTAGTATGTGAACAGAACTGAAGTGTGTGATTAAAGGGGATCTTTATGTGCTTTGCTGAACTCTGTCCTGGACTAGCACATGTTGAATGTCTTTGTCCATACAGAAATGGCAATTCTGTATTCACTGAATGTGAAATAACTTTTTTCTGGACAATTCCTTCCAGACTAGGATGTGTGATAACAGGTTTCTCAGAAGTGCAATACAAAAACCCTGGAACAAAGACTAATTCAAACACCAAGCTGTATATACATTAATGTTTAACAGGAGAGGGGAAAATCTTAACTCTGACTGGAAGCTCTTGTATCTTATAATGGTTACTATTCCTGGCAGGGAATCAGTAAAAATATTCAGAGGGGAGTGCTCTTTCATTTAGCAGAGATATCTTGATTATAACATGAATCATCCACAGCATGCAACATGCATCATTCTGAGCTCTCAAAGATGGTGCTGAAACCAGACTTCCCTCCCACTGGATAAGATACTGTGATTTTGTCTCTTATTTAAAATCAACAGCACCAGTAGCAATCAAAATGACAAACACAACTTCAATCTGAATTTCAGACAGAGGCAATGGCTGGTGTCTGGGCAACTGAATAAAGAGCAGATAGAAAATCACATATGAATTGAGTTGGGTTTTGGTTTGTGTTTCTTACGTGTTTACTAGAGCAGGTAAGTCAAATGCTATCCAAGCAGAAGAGCTAGTACTACTACTCTTTAACTCTCCTCAAGCAGTTAAGAGAACCTCCACTCCACTAAAATGCTGCTGAGGGTTACTCACCCATCCCCTTGGTGTGGTTGAAGTCGCCTTTCACCACTTTACAGGTTTTACCATCGCCACTGCAGATTCCACAGCGATCCTCTTTGGCAGCTGAGCCAATGATTCCATCGCAGCCAATTTTCTAATGACAACAACCAGAGGTCCCCATTATTTTGTTTGCAAGGTTAAAGTATCTCTAAACACTGAGGTCAAGACTAAGACAGACATCGGACTAAAAACCTGAACAGGAAGAAAACATTGTGAATCAGGGGAGCACTCATTTGGAACAGCGTTGAGCTGCTTACTCAGCAACTCCCTTCTCTAACCTGAGCATGAACTTTGATTCAGAAGATTTAACTGAAGAGAGTTTCACAAACACTAGTTATTCCAGATATTATCAAAAACATCCCAGAGAAATGGACCCCTACTGTGATTCTTAGTTTAGAGAAGAGAAAAATGTGACTTCCTTAAATGAAAATTAACCAAGTAACCAGAAATCCTGGTTATAGCCCTTCACCAGACAAAAATTCAAAGTGCTGTTACAATTTCTAGTATGCTGATGACTGAATGAGCTCTGCTTCATGTTGAGATCTTAACAGGGAATGTAACATTCAGTTCTGATTACCCTTTTGCAATACCTGAAAAAAGAACTCATTAATCAAACGGCTCAAGATACCTGCAATGCAAAAGTACTTCAATAGAAGCAGGTCAGGTTCATATTTGGCCAATCTGTACCATAAGATTGCTTACACAATTATGACATTTTCCAGATGCTTGCACTGTATTAAGCTTAGACTTTCAATTGTAAATAAAATAAAATAAAATAAATCTAATTATTTCAACTAAAAGCTTTATTTTAAATGGTATTTTCCTAATTTTCTCCAGTAGAAATCTGCAGCTTGGCTTCCACAGACAGGTATTACTAGAATAGTCACAGTGTTCTCCCAGCTATAGACATTGTCACGGTAATCTTCCTTATTCACAAACTATTTCCAGTTTATGATGGTGACCACTGCACATTTGTAGATCTTGAGGCTGATAGCACTTAATGTTATTAGTCTATGAAAACTTTTTGCTGTCCATGTAAGACCCTCAAAATAATCAGCAATTCACTCTTAAAACATAATTTCTACTGAAATAAGATTTGTCATGATGCAAGTTATTAGCAGAGATTATACTATTAAAAATAAGTTGAAGATTTATTCTCTGTGGATAAACAGTTTTTTGGCAAATGAGTCAGCAGGACTGTCACTAATAATACTTATTTGAATAAGGCTGTTGGGTCTCTCCTTTCCTTGCCTTCTTACAATAAAGCCAGAAGAAAGTTGGAGAGATATCTTAAGGAACAATCAAAACAACAAACATTTTGAAAAATAGGGTAAGCAGGGAAATATTAAGAGAACTTGGGCTGTTTATGTGAGACAGTCTGTGTGTAAGCAATGTAATTTGGACCTGAACTCAAACGTTCCCCTTGTTTCAGAAGACACTGGCCACTGCCTAAGTCCAGATGTATTACAGGGATCAAAGACTGCCAGTGTTCAGATGTGTTCTGATACAGCGTTGTCTGGGTAAATCATTAGAGACAGACACATGCTGAGAAAGGATGATCATCCAAAACACTTACAAGGGAAATGCTGCTCATTAACTAGAACAGCATGTAAGCTGGTGGACAGGAACTACAGGAAAAAACCCAGAGAAAGGGGAGTTAAAGGAAGGTAGGAAGAAGACCATGAAGTTTCTGGCAGTTGCAATTCTCCAGTCTAAATTTCACACCCATCTCCAACAAATAATTTTGGGATATTGAACGTGATTCTGCCCCCAAAACAGAAGGATGTCCCAGCAGTTCTCCTTCCAAGAAAATAAATATGATTTATTAATGGGGTTGCTGAAAGGCAGCTGGAAATATATGCCTGCCTGCCACCCTGCTGAGATCCTGGAAAGGCTGCATTTAATTTAAGGCTCTAGTGCTATCTTTTATTGTACTGCATTGTTATTAGCACTATGTGAGCACACAAATGAATAAAGGGAATGTAATGAGTGTTGAACCACACTTATTCCCAGTGCTACACGAGGAGTCTGTAGGACTATGACAGAGACAGGGAAAGAATAGGGAGTCAGCAGTCACATGCTTTGCATTTACGCTGTAGGTTCCCAGATAATGTGAACCAGTGCCAGCCAGAAAAGCCTCTGAAAGAATAAGTCCCCCCGCTTCTGATACTGGGGTTCAAGACAAGCCATTTCCTCCCACATTTACTAGGTCATTGACACATTTTGACTTGAGAGACCTTCTCTGAAGGCATGCAAAGAGCACCCACTGAATCCACAAATATACCTCCCCAAACCCTTTCTGTTTTTTTACCTTTCATCTTCACCCTAATTCCCTGTGAGCAGAGGAACTGGGAATGGCCTTTGCAGCCTTCCCTTCAATAGCACCATCCCTCCCTCCCTTCCACAGGGCAGACTTTCCCTGTCAATCCAGGGCCTGAGGATTAAAGCTGCCATCAGATTTGGGCAAGGAAACGGCTTCTTACACAGGAAAATCTTTTATGAGAATAAACCAGTTTTCTTTCTTGGCTTCAAGATGAAAATTAGTGTGTCTTGCTACTTTACAGGGGAAAAGTACTTTGGAAGCACTTTACTCTTGTCTACATAAACATTAGAGCCCATTTCCCTTTCCAATCATTTCCAAAAGTGTATTAATGAGTTTATTGTATATAATGAAAGAGCTTTTGTTAAGATTTGACAATGAATTCCAAAAGCTGCAAAGTCATTTAGAAACACATGACAGTGACCACCTCAGTCACCTGGATCCTTTGAAAACTCCCCACATTGAAAATACTCCCACTCTTAAAATAAGTGGCTAAGGGGAAGAGACAGGACTGGAAGGGCAAGGAAGCAAAACACAAGGAGCATCATCCTTCCTGGGAGGAAAGTATTTGCCAGCAGTCCTTGGATTGTTAATTGAGAGATATGTCCAGCTTTCTCCAAGGTGAGAAAGCCCCTGAGATTCCAGCACTGGGGATCAGAAGCTTAAACCTGAGTCCCACCAGACCAGGGAGAAGATCTATTGAGTCTGTACATCACCAGCTTCTCACTGAAGGATGCTGTCCATCGTTAAAATAGATAGAGCTGTCCTCAGTCTTAAGAGGTTTAATTAACTGTATGCAAAGGGAAAATCTCAGGTTTCAGAGCTCAAAAGTCAAGTTTTCATAGCGCAGAAAAAATCCCTTAAAACCCAAATAGTTCAAGGCTGCTCTTTGATTTTTACCATCCCTAACTTGTTTTGTGCCACTTCTTGTACAGTCCAGCACATTGACCAAGGTAAAGGGATTTTTTTAATTAAGAAGGAGAAAGGCAGAAAGGAGAAGCTTTACATTCTGAGGAAAGAAAGTGCTTGCAAATAACATCCCATGTGTTTTCTGACCCAATAATTACTCTGCAGGTGAGCAGACTGAGTCTGTGGACCAGTCCATCCAGCAATAGCTGGGAACTTTCAGCTCCATCAGTCTTGAATGGACTGGTGAGGAGGGAAGCAGTTTTGTACTCTTACCAAGATGATGCATTAAGGAGCGAGCAGGGCACTTGGAGCTTGTCTGTGTTCAGAAGGAAGAATAAAAAGTCAAAAGCCAGCCTAGTGTAACCACCATCTGTTTAGTAGTCTGTGGGTGCATTTGCCACTGTCAGCCCTGTTCTTAGACTCTTCAGCTTCCCTGTACCATTCACCATGGACTTGGACAGTGGTATCCATAACTTTGGCAAAGGGACTGATGTTGACACCACCCAGGAGTTCCAGCTCCTGCCTGTACTAGCTGTTGAAAGCCTGCAGTGCTGCAGTACTGCTATTAACAGCATCAATTGGACAAAGAGGAAGCAGATTTTAACCAAAGCCAGTTGCTTGCCCATATTAAAACATGGAAGTGCTGGCAAGAAACTTGAAGATAGTCTTTTGGGGATTCAAGTCCTCAGCGTGGCCAGTCACAACTATATCCACAGGTTTCTTAATGATCTTCAACCCAGGCAGTCCCCTACTCCAACACCATGTTTTGGAACCATCCATTGACCTTTAAATTGGCAGTTAACTCCATGTTTGCTGTGCCAAAGGCCTGAAATTCATTCCCACTGAACTGATATCGCAGTCCACCCTTCCTTCTCTCCCTCCCCCTTCTCATTTTTATAATTAAACATCTGAAAGTCCTGCTTGTTGGGTGGTATTTCCAGCTTCAGTCATTGCTGGCTCCAGCGTAGGAAAACTCCTCTTCTCTTCTGAATATACATCATTTAGATTCTTCTGTGTGAACTATTTTCTGTATTGCTTGGATATTTTTTAATGATATTTGTATTTGTATTTTCAATGGCTATGCAAGAGCTCAATTGATACAGCCTGCGTGAGTATGTTTTGCTACATAAACACAATTATTTTTGTTATATACACCCACCCTGTGTAAGAAATGACATTGTAGGCTCACAAAACTGTAATGCTTCCCATATGCTGGACTAACTAGCTGTCTCAGTGGATCAAATATAAATATTGATGCAACATGTGCCATTTTACAAATTAATCATGTACAGAGCATGCTGGTTATGACAGATTCATCTATGCTGCCAATTTTTTGTCCATAATATCCAGTGTCCATTGATACCTCCAGGGATGGACCACATGAAACAGGAATGTGCGTATGTGAGGAACTGATATTCAGATCGGAGGGTAAGAGAATTCTTATTCCTTTGTTTTAAACACAACTGCCCTTGTGGAGGATTATGAGTGTCTGTCAGGATTTGTACAGGAGGGTGAGCCTAGATCCCTAATCAAGCAGTTCATCTGTAAAGTTCTTTCTATTTCTGTTCCACAACAAGTTCTGTGTGATGGATTGGAGTCCACGTAGAAGCTAGTTCAGCAAATATTCTCTTGTCATTTCCCAAGCCTTCAGATTTTATCTGAATCAGAGCAGCTCTGCTGTGCAGGAGACATCCAGAGCCTATTTTAAATTAGTATTATCTGCATTAGATAGGTAATTACACCTGCCTATTTACTTTGGGTTTAGGTCCCTTAGTGGTTCATGAAGATGCTAGATACAGTTATTCTTGATAACTACTTTTTCACATATAGGGCTTGAAGGTTACGTGTCAAAACTTGTGTTCTGG